ATTGGAGGGTCATTTAAATTTTTGAGATCCCAGACGTAATTATCTATAAAAAGTTTTCAATGGGAGTAAATGTAACTTTCTATAATAGTTTGTAAAGGTCCAGTAAAGAAATGACTGAATTTTTGTGATGATTTTTGTTGCAATTTTAACTTCATTTCTTATTAAAGCAATGGGGAAAAGCCCTATGTTCTGTTGTTCAAACAGACATAGTAAGTCTAGTTATTATTATTATTATTATTATTATTATTATTATTATTATTATTATTATTATTATTATTATTATTATTATTATTATTATTATTATTATTAGTATTATTATTATTAGTATTATTATTATTATTATTATTATTATTATTATTATTATTATTATTATTATTATTATTATTTTAATATTATTGATTTATTAATGCTGTTTGTATTATTGTTAATGAAAAAAGAATAAAAAAGGCATGATTTAAAACACTATAATTTTGATTATATTGTCATCGTTATTATTTTCATTATTATTATCATCATCATCATTATTATCATTCATCATCCTATCATTTACAATGGTTATTTTCATTTTTATCATTTTCGTTTCACGAAGGGTCGAACAAAAAACATTCTAAGCGAAATTTAATAAAGGCTAAATATAAAAATGTATTATCTTTGATGTATTATACCGTAATCTTTACCAAGTCCGCCCTCAGTTGTCAGTAGCAAAGCGGCCACCATCCTTCAAAAAGATTTATGTTGTTGAGTACGCTGGTACGCTGTCGAGTCAAGTACAGTGAACGGTGTACCTGCTGAATAGCTTTGATCCTGGGTTTGTAGGGAATCCGGATGTTATTTAGGCTTAATTGCTTTCCTGTATGTTTACAGCAATTGACGAAATAGTTCCTATTGAGGTAATAGCAGTGCAGTTTTACGACAGTTTCCAGTTTTGATCACAGAAAGAGCGGTGTGCTCATTCTCCCTTCTCCGATTCACCTGTGTATGTAGCCAAAGTTTACCGTTATTCAACTTGGCCTGCTGTACGGAATTTGAAACGAGTGTGAAATCTGAGCTTTTGAACTTTACATTCGGAGATTTACTGTGTCCAGGGCCAAGGTTTTGCAACCATATTGCACTACTGTTTTTACTTTGTACCGTACGAATTACTGGTTTGCAAACAAACAGAAAAAATACTGTTCAGTGTTGTGCTGTCCTACTGTATTATAGTATAGGGCCTCACTAGGCCTAGGCCCTAGCTTAGACCAGCCTCAGGAAAGGAGGCCCTAAACTAAGCCCTACTAATAAGCTTGCAGGAGCTGAGCTTGGCTAGAAGTCTATTTGGGGCTATACCTAGTAGGACTATCCTGTGTTGTGATGGAAATGGAATTTAGATGGCCTACTTATTTCATCTCGTCTGATTATATGGGGAATTGAAGTAAGTATATCGCCATCTTTGCTTTAAACTAGGAATACTGTATCCTACACTAAGTAGGCCTAGGCTGGCCTAGTTTGTTGTATCACAGGTATACCTAAATGAACTATCTAGGCCTGCTACCTAAAATAGACCCACAAATGAAGTGAGGCTTGGTTTAAACATCTCTCTACTTTAATAAGTCATCATGATGATTGCTGGTTAGTAGTAAAATGTTTGTTCTTTTTTTTTTTCTGAAATCTCTTGCTAAGTATTAACAACATTTACAATTAAGTATATTTTCTTCTTTTTAGAACATGAGTTTTCATAAATTGAATAGTATTAAAGTTTACTTACCGTATCTTCATTTCTTTTCTATTATCCTTGTAGCAATGCATTCCAGTCGTAAGAAGGGGAAAATGCCTTTGATGAAGAAGACAGTGGAGGTTGGCAGAGCGCAAAATGGCTACGGATTCACTTTAGCTGGTCAAGCCCCATGTTTTTTGAGCTGTATCTTAAGTGGCAGTCCATCTGAACAGGCCAATTTGAAGCCTGGAGACCGCGTTTTAGCTATTAATGGAAAAAATGTATCGCGTATGAGCCATGAGCAAGTTGTTAAGCTCATTGGTTCTGCAGTTGACGTTCTTAGGATCACAGTTGCCGAGCAGGAACCATGTGAATCATCAGATGATGAGTATAACCCCAGGCCAAGATCAAGGTACTCAAATGCACGACCGAAAAGTACCCCACCGGTTGGAATAAACCAACATGAATCAGCGGTAGACAGTTTCATTCAGGGTAAATATACCAACAGTGGATTTAATGGTGGACCACAGCTTTATGGACCTGGGAAAATACCAAGCAATCAAATGATATCAGCTGAGCAAGCTAGACTTGCCCCAGGTCATTTGAGTCCATTTAACAAGTCCGGTAGAGCAGAGATTCTCTTACGAAAGTCCTCCACACAGCGGGAAGATACTAACAATTGGAGTGGTAAAGCTTCAGCAAGGAATAATGTTCCACCAAAGGTACGACGATCCAAGAGAAATTCAGAAGGCAGGACAAAATCAAACTCGCTTCATTATCAAAAGTCTTATGATCAGGAATCTTATGATGTTAAAAACGATGCTATGGCTCAGAGGTCAATGACACCAGTCCAGTTGTCCAATATATTATATCCGTCCTTACAACCTCATCCGGCATCTCAGGGAAGACAGTCTGCACCTCCAAGTGGTCAAGCATCAATGCGTGTTGTGGTTGGTTATTTAGGATCTATTGATATCCCAGCATCGGCAAACCTTCCAACAGCAAGTTTGCAAGCCATACGTGGATGTGTACGCAGATTGCGCGTGGAACAGCGTATTCATTCTGCTGTTTTGATGGAAATTAGTGAAAGCGGTGTGCGTCTTGTTAATAAAGCACGACGGACAATGGTTGTATATCCTGCGGATTGTGTTGCATTTAGTGGCGTTTGCCCTGATGATAAACGATTTTTTGGTATAGTCACTGCCCAGAATGTCTATGATGCATTTGATGGCAATAGTGATGATGAGGATGATCCTGTTGGAAGTTCGTGCCATGTGTTTTTAGCCAATCCAGAAATCAGTCCTCATAGCGTACATGCTAAACTTGCCCTTGAGTTTGGGATAAATTGTACGCTCGACCCACACTACAATGGGTGCATAGAGTTCCCCCATTCTTCTAAACCCATACTTCGGGCTATCAGTATGCTGTACAGTGATCGCAACAATGGAATCTACCAGGCGGCCGATTCACCATTCTATCGTGGTCGACACAGTAACAGTAACAGCAGCACGAGTGATAGCGGGATTGGTTATGGTAAAGACTCAACAGAAGTTAATGGAGTTTCAGTAGCCAATAATAATAATGCAGTTCCAATCCTAGATGTTGCTAGTCATATTCGAGCTAAACGTAATGCAGAAATAAACAGTCATTCCACGAGCCATTCCCATAATTCCAACCACAACGTACACGTAGTACGAGCTGAAATAAATTCTTCCTCGGATTTTCCATACTCGATATCATCTTCTGCTTCTCCGGCTTCAATTGAAACTTCACCACAGAATAACTTGACTAGTAGGCTGACTCCTCGAGCCAGGCCTAACCCGGTTGGATTTGGGAATCCAGGAATGCAAGGAGGGAAACAGGCTGGACTTGGAGGGACACCTCTGAGTGCTGGAAGCTTACAACAGTTGCATCAGATCATGCAGCAGCGACAGCAGAAGCAATTAGAAGATGATGAGGATGGAGATGTGGACGATGAATCAGAGGATGAGGACTTTTTGAGGTCGCAAGGTCAGCAAGTACATGGGCTGCCGCCCCTCCCTCATGGCAGGCACTCGATGTATGCCAAGTTGGATAATACTGGAAATAATAAACCTAACACAGGAAATCTTCAGCGACAGGTAGGCTTTCAATTCTTTTGTGTTTGTTTAAATTTTGCATCAGTGTGTGTCCGTACAGAATTTCATCATAGCATTTAGATTGTCTTTTTCCTACATTATATTACATTGTTCCTGTAAATGTTACAGTACAATTTATTTATTAATAATCTATAACATTTATTAATTTATTAATAAAATTAACGTTTAACATTGTAAATGTTACAGTTCTCTAAATTTACATTTATAAATTTTTTTAGTAAATTTCCATTAATTAATATCAAATATTTAATGTTGCAAAATATTTGCATATTACTGGTTAAGTAGGCCTACTGTACATTCAAATATTAAATCTCAAGCAGACATAATTGGTCACCATTAAAGTTTTTTTTTTTTTTAATTTCTAAGTAAGTCTATGATTATTATTATATTTCAGTTTACAATATATCGCTTGATTGGAGGTTTAATTAATGTTAAGTAACAAAATTGCAATTGCTTGAGGTATTACCGTATAACAGTAGAGGATTGATGGTTCTAAAAAAAACTGATGAGTTGATAATAAATATTTATATCTCCGATACTCTACTACTAAAAATGTGTTGTAGATAGCCTTTGACAAGGAAATACTGTACACTACAGTTCTTCTTTGGGTATGTTTACCAAATGTGATTTATTGATTATGAAATAGTGATACACAATAACAAAAATATCCTTCCTATTAGTCACATCATAATATCAATAGTCACTAGATTATTAATTTAAAATTCATTCGTATTAGTAGGATCACAATATTATTGATCGTCAAGGAATGCTGCCAATTTTTGATTTCTGTCAAAAAGAAAGTTTTTTGCAAGAATGTGACATCCACAATTATTGAAGGAACTCTAATCCACCAATGTTTGATTGATTTGAAAGAAGTCAGACGATTTCACACAAAATTTTAATCCATTTTTAATAATAATACATGTGTAGTTTTATATACTGTAGCACCATATCTATCTACAAACATACAGTAAGATGCTCATGGTGCTTGATATGTGGACTAGGAACTCGATCAATGACTTCCTTCACCCCGAAAAATAGGGTCCCTTCATGTCTGTGTTAATATGATATCTCACAGTCCAAATTCTGAAATTCATGGTCTGTTTTTAGACTGCAGTTTTGGTGTTGAGAACCAAGACCTTTATGCAATTATAACCAGTCTAATCCTACTGTACTGTATGCTGGCAATGATCACCAGTACAATAGGTTGATCACTGCAACTGTCAGCCATTACAAATCTATAACGTCTTTCTGATTAAAATTCACTAGACAATGCTGTTGTACAAACTGATCACTCCTGTCATTGTCTTCCAGCGTTCATTCCATCACCTGCTTTTCATTCTGTTTAAATCAACCATAAACCATGTTTTCATTTGCAAGCGTCGTGTGGCCGTTTGTTAAAACACCGTCTACGCATTTATTTACGCATTTATTTTCATGGTGATGAAATAACCAAACAACAAAACCACTTTGAAGTGTGTGAAGTCTGTAGAACTGAAAATCTAAAGTTAGTTGATTGTTTGTGTAGAAAGCTCTACTGTTATATTTAATTGTATTTACTTGACTTATATTGTAACGAGCAAATGAAAGCTTAGAGTTGAATTTACACAGTATTTGAGTAATGTGCTTCCAGTCAAACAAATAATCACGGGTTGTTAGACCAAACAAACAAAACTACAAAACACATTTCAAATATTCCTGCAATATTCCAAACAATGAATTATAGTGGCATATTATTTAATGCTATTAAAGAAATATGCTATTAATGTTGCAGTGTGGAATTTGTTGTGTGATAGAGATCACAACTACCACTAATTAGGTGTTCTTTGGTAGCTTTATTACAAACTCTGTTAATTTTGATATTATTATTAGAATTGACAGAGTAAAAAAGACATTTCTCAGGCTACCATAGAATTTGTTATAAATATTCAGCATCCATATCAAATCGTTGCTTCACTTTTAGTAATTGCTCTACAGTGTTGTCAATTATTATTAATTAATTAATTAAGCAATGAATAATTTATTTATTTACTTCTTCTATAATATTACCAATATTATATCCCTATTCTTGTCTTTTTTTTTTTTACTTTTGTTTCATTTCCTTGTTCAACTGAACCTTGATATTGTGTTCAATGTTAGAGGTACATTCTGATAACTTTAACCCTTTGGGGTTATCAGAATGTACAGTACCTTATTTATCTAGACTGCTACCTATGCATTTTGTGTGTCGTTCATTAATCTTTCAGTTGTACATTTGTTAGTGCTGTTGACTTACAGTGTGTTTAACAATTTGTTTGAGCTCTTTTCTATGTAATGAAATGATAATGTAACAACAGTTTAACATGTCTGTAGTGGATCCTATAAACACAATCCAAATGGTCGTGGTAGTTCCACATACTGTACAGCGAGAGTGAATGTAAAGTGTAGGAAAGGGAATGGAAGTTGTTTTAAAATAGGGATGGACATAAAAATAGGTCGCAGGGCCAAACTTAATTTTAACACCAAGGGCCACTACAGTAGCAAACTTGTGGTGAGACTTTAACGTTTCCAATGTGCACTTACAGAAACCTTCACACTTTTCAGAAGCCTGCTTTGCAAATTTTACTTTTTAAGGTGTTCGGCATCAGGCCTTAACAATGAGGGGTTTTCTAACCGCATGTGGCCTGTGGGTCGCACTTCGCCAAAGGTTTAAGACATGGCCCCAAATATGCCCAATAAAAATAAGTCAATCGTGACGTCATCACTGCAACTCCCAGTGTTATTTGCCCAATAAAAATAAGTCAATCGTGACGTCATCACTGCAACTCCCAGTGTTATTTGCTTATTCCCCACCTTCCACTAATTTTTCAATTAGTGGACGCTTGGCTTGATTTTTTTTAGGTTCGTGTGCAAAAAAATGTCCTAATTTTTTTGTCACCGCGAAGACATTGCGAACCGCGATAAATGTTAAATTGTAATTGAAAATTTCTTTTGTAAAACAAGCTTTACTATAATTAGAACCTAAAGAAAGTTACTTCAAATTCAATATTAATTTTGAACTAAGGAATTCATTGATAATAAATGAATTCATATAAATAATAAATGACAAAGATACCCATTGGAATTCAAATCTTTTGAGCCTAGAAGTAGGTTAGAGTATTGCAATATATCCCACTTGCATTACTTGGATCGTAATAATAATGTCATGTATTGTGCTTACTGTTTATCTGGTTACAATAAGGACCTAATAATAATATTTGAAAAACCTTAATATAAACTTTTTAATTGTGCTGATGGTGGGAATGGCCAACCTTCATACAATCAGTATCAAAGCACTATTTCTTATGATGTATACTATATTATGCTGTGCTGATCAATATGTAATTATTGGTTGGACTGAGTTTTTAATTTAAACTAAATGATTTACCTTGAATATGATAATTTATCATTTTGAAACATTTGCTATACTTTGAATAATTTATGATTGTTAAATTTGGATTGGAACTACAGTGAAAATTTTGTCTTCAAAGTAAAAGGTAAGTTAAAAAATATCCCCTGGAAGTGGATTTTTTTTGTATTATTGTCTTAATAATCAAGTTCTAATTTGACCATGGTTTGATTTAATGGCATTCATGTATGACCCAACCATGGGAAATCAAAATGATATTTTGTCATGAAACTTGATCTGTAGTGTAAGCATAGCTTTAAGCTATGAAAAATATTTTATTTAATCAAGAACCATTAAATTGGCACATTGCAAAATTTAAAGGATGTGTTTTTAAATTGGTTAACCCGTACAGTAGTTTCTTAAGAATACTGAGCTTTCGTTTGAGGACGGTGAGCGCACAGTACGGAGCGTTCTAAACCGGACACTATTTTCAGTCAGAACCGTCCTCAAATTCCGCGGTATGGTGAGATGCAATCTTTCACGCATGCGCAGAGGAATCTTCGGCTCTAATTACCGTACTAGATTTCTCCCGTACTGAAACAAAAGCTCGCTAATGAGACAAATACAGTGGCAGATCCATACTTTTTTTTCCACTAGGAGTAGAACAAGACAGTGGCAGTGGAGGACCTACTGTAAGGTTCAAAGGTAGTGGAACTTGTGGTCGAGAAAGAAATGCCTGTGGGGGCTCCCTACTTGTTGTAATGTACCGTGGTCCAGGGGGATACAGCATGTCTGGTCTACTCTGTACTGTCACTGTTGTCTGCATGAAAAATAGAATAACTAAGTCAGAGCAACTAGTCCATTTTGTGAAATATCCTCAGAGAATTTTATAAAAGTTCTGCACATTGTTTTTTATTTTGTATACATGTAAGAATTGTTTATGTACCATAAACCATAGGGCACAGTTACTGATAATTAGATTGATTTGGTTATTTACAGTAACACAGGGTTTGGGCAAAACTATCAAATTCTCTATAAAGTAAAGGTCTCCCTCTAATTAACGAATCCACCAGTTATAGACTACCTCCAATTAAAGACCATGTTTGTGTGGTCCCAAATTAACAATGTCTTTTATTTTTGTTATTCTAAGTAATTAGAGACCAAAGCTGCTAATGACTATGAACACCCCAGTCCCAAAGTGGTCTTTATTTGGAGGGAGACTTGTACAGTATGCTGAAATGCTATGTAATTTACCGTTGAGTCTTGTAAACACTCACAGCCCCTTGTTTGTGGTAATTGCTTAAAAAACAACTCTCGCGCTGATCGAGTAGTTTAAAGCTGTTTGGAATACTGTACATTCCAATTTGAGGTCCAAAGAAAATGCATTCACAGTCACAAATCAATACTTTATTGTGTCCGTCAGCTTTCCTTGGCTTGATGTTTTGTTGGGTAGACGTAACACACACGCTGACTATCATAATACTGTATGGCTAAAATAGCTTTTCAATCACTCTCCTCATCTACTGTACAGTGTTTGTGTCTATGCCCCCTCGGGGGGGAAAAGACACTGTTATAAACTGGCAGTTAAAGATGGAGGAAAGGGTAAATCCGGTGA